CAGGCTGGCCTTGAACTCACAGAGATCCACTTGCCTCTGTCTCCCAAGTAGTGGGATTAAGGTGTACCTCCCTGCCACCCTGTGAACTTTCTGTCTTTGTTTTCTTGAGAAGTCACTGAGCGCTGACATTGCTGCAGTTTCCCCATGCTGATTTTTAATTCTTCTATCTTTTTGTTCTCTGTTACAGGGTCTTATTCTGTGGCCAGGCTGGCAAGGACTTGATGGTGTTGAGGTTAGCCAGCTTGAGCCACTAGGGTTGTAAGATCATTCAGCTCTGCTAGGACCTTAGTGCCACCCCCTCCCCTTTAAAAATTTAGTTTCTTTCTAAACTGAAAGATCCTAAGTAACAAGGGAAATTTAACTTACGGCATACAGGGGACCGTGTGAGCAAATTCCAGCTCTTCAGTAAGTATTACAAGGGCTCACTCACTAAATGCTCTCTTTTCTGCTTGCAAAGGCTAATGTTACTCACCGGTCTTTCATTAGGGTCAATGAAAAATATTTTGATGATTATTTCAAATTCACCCCATCCTGTTTCAGTAATTTCATAGGGCGGCTTAGTAACGACTAGAGAGGGAAGAAAAAAGAAAAAACAATTATAAATTATCGATTTAGTTCCTGTTTCTTTCCTAATTATGTATACGATGAGACAAAAACTGTAACACACCTCTTAAAGGATTGCCATAGCTTTCATGTAATTTAAACTGGATTTTCTTCACATATGCTGACATATCCTAAAACAGAGAGAAATTAGTTCTCCAATGGACACCACTCAGCACGTGCACACAATTTTATAAAATATACTTTCCTTCGAAGTTTACAGGACATAATTCAAACAAAACAAGAGTTAGCTGGTATAGTGAGACACACCTGTAATGCCAGCTGACCGAGAAGCTGAGGAAGGACAGTAAGTTTGAGGGTAGCCTGGGCAACCTGCTAGACCCTGTTTCAGAATGAAATGTTTAAAAGCGCAGGGATGTAGTTCAGGAAGCATGCTTGGTTTCATCTCTCAACACAGCAAACAAAACAAAAGCCAGTGTTCATATGTGTACATATACGTGTGTGTTCTCATGTGTGTACATGTGTGTGTGAATGTGTGTATGCATGTAGGTGCCCAAGGGGCATATAGGTGCCCAGGGGGTACAGGAGCTCTGGACCCCCTGGAGCTGCAATTATAGCTCTTGTGAGTTGCCCTATGTGGGCACTGGGAACCTTTGCATGAGCACTGTTTGCTCTTAACTGCTAAGTCATCTCTCCAGCCCCTTATCTTAATCAGAAGACATTCTAAAAAACTGTTCCATTAATTACATGAAGATAAGAATTTTGTTTGTTTTTTTTTCAGATGGGGGTGGGGTGGGAATTCTATAATGGGCCCACTTCATTCTTGGAAAGTTACTATACAGAATTTCATAATTTACTGTCAAGTAAACAAACTGTACTTCAGAAGATAACTACAGAAAAAAAAATGCCTACCTCATTTCTGTATGGTTTTACATATACTGTCCACTGGTGGGTGTGTCCATCTTCTTCTCTTTTCTTCCCAAAATATCGGGCAACATTACCATAAACTATTGGCTTAACGATGGTAACTCCCTAAAAGAAAAGCAAGTTTAAAAATCGGTAAGTATTTTACCATTGCCTGAATAAACAGTGAGCACTGGCAGCTTGTTTTAGGGAATAGCTTCTAACTACTTTAGGGTTTAGTTAGAACAGGGATCCCTTCAACCCATTTTCACACTCATTTCATGTTAACACAATAACCAAGTAACAATTACAACTTTCATATTTGAGCGGCTGGGGAGACAGTTCAGCAGTTGAAGCACTTGCTGCTCTTACAGAGAACTAGGTTTGGTTCCAGCACCCACATGGAAGCTCACAGTGCTCCCTACTTGAAATGTTTGTTATTTTGTGCATCTGTGTGTACATTCTGCAGTGCACAGTACATGTGGAAGCCAAACAGTCTGCAGGAATAGATTTTCCTCCTTCCTCTATGTGGGGCCTGAGGCCTGAACTCAGGTCATCAGGCTTGGCAGCAAGTGCCTTTACCTGCTGAGCTGTCCTATGGCTTGAAAGATGGCTTGAATGTTCTCATCTAAACACCATGTAAGGCATGTGAGTATTTGATTAAAGAAAAACAAAATGTCTTCACAAACCTAAAAGCTAGGAAACAGAAGACAACTGCCAATTTGACTAGCATCGCTTGTAGCTAAAGGCTTTTAAAATTAATCTATGGCAGAATTTCCAAAGCATAGCACAAAAACCAAGGACAACTTATGAGAGAATTTTAGGGCAAACATTTTCCGTTGTCATCACTATGTACATTATAATCTGGATATGAAGTACCCTCAAAAGGCTTATTGTTGTCGGGCGTTGGTGGCGCATGCCTTTAATCCCGACACTCGGGAGGCAGAGGCAGGGGGATCTCTGTGAGGTCAAGGCCAGCC